GCTATTCACTACAGTAATTTTCTTGATTAAATATGAAATATAAGGTTCATTTAGAACTAATCTGGTTTTATTGTTGTCTTCAGTTCAGTGTTTAATGTCTTATAGTTGATATTGCTAAAACAAGTTTTTAGCAATGATTTATACTCTATTAATTCATAGATGTCAGAATGATGGAATAGTTGGTGAATACGAGATTTGTGCGTGTGTGTGTGTGTGAAGGCTACTTAATTTATGTAAAGGCCCTTATGGATTTAAACTATTTCATCATTTCTTATGGAAGCAATTTTGCTTCCATGTTGCCCTTTTCAACCCCAGATCCTTCTCTTGAGTTGTAGCAATTACAAAGCTAGATGGGTTATCTGTTTTCTAGCTTATAAAGCATTCTGAACCATATTTGAAGCATGAAGAGCAGATTAATGTGTAGGTACAATAATTTGAACCCACAGATTCACTGTTCAGAAAATAAGTTTAAAATAATATGTTTGAAGAAATCGTATTGACTTGTATGATTTTGTTTGAAACTATGCACCCTATTTTGAAGCGAAATAGTTTAGATATTTTTAGGCAAGAAGAGCTGTTCAGTAACTTAATTTTCCTTGGCCAATGAATTCTTGCATTAAGCATAGCTTCTGTTTCTTTTTCTTTCCATCAGTGGTCATAGAAGTTAATGGAAAAGATGAAAATTTTTTGTTTATGAAGTATAAAATGATAAATGACTTGAATTTTAGAGTTGAATCTGCCTAACAAGAATTCATTAATTTATAGTTGCTCTCAAAAGTAAACACCTGCATATACAAATGCAAGTGTTCTAAGAAGGTAGATGTTGTGTGCATTTTTGTTTCTAATGTCTAGATACATATCTTCTGCAGGCATTATTCAAGCCTCCAAAAGCAATTCGTGGAGGAATTCCAATATGTTTCCCTCAAGTATGTGCATATCTTCTATTTTCCTTGCTTTTTTAGATTGTGTGATCAATCCTAATCACAAAAACCTGCTCTGTGTTTGCAGTTTTCAAATCATGGTCCTCTTGAACAGCATGGATTTGCTAGAAATAGATTTTGGAGCATTGACAGTGATCCGCCTGCTTTTCCAACAAACTCATCCGGTAAAGCTCACATTGATTTGATCCTTAGGCCTTCTGAAGAAGATATGAAGATTTGGCCTCACAGGCAATTTTTTTAATCTTTTAGCATCAGTTCATGAAGAGAGATTCCTTGTAGAATCTCTGTAACCTTATTCTCTTGACTAATTAACTTGTCTTCATGGCTTTGTCTACTATCTCAGTTATGAGTTCCGCCTGAGGGTAGTTTTGGGACCTGGAGGAGATCTAATGTTAACATCTCGCATCAGGAACACAAATACTGATGGAAGCCGTTTACATTCACATTCACATATCACACTTATTTTTCTGTTTCTGACATCAGGTAATTAAAAGGATTTGCTTTATATTTAATCTTGTCTGTGATATGATGTTCAGTGATATTGCTTTATAGCTTTACCCGTACTATGGTGTAGATCAAATCTGTCAACCTGGGTTTATTCAATGTATGGTAAAAAGCCAGCAATTCTTTTAGGTCATGGAAGGTTAAGGTGTAATACACAAAGTAATAAAGCAGCTGATTAATAATGGAAATAGAACAAGAGAATGGGCAATAATGAAGTGACTATTAAACATGTATAGAGTTTGCGTTAATAGTATGTTTCTATATATTGGAACTTTTTTTTTTGTCAGAAGTGCTTTTATTTTTACTAGTCATATTGTGGTTTGACTAGTCTTGACTCTTGAAGCAATAAAGTAAGTCTTGGATGTCTTGAAAGCTTAAAAGACTGGGTTCAAGGATTAGCTGTTTTAACAGATGAGCTCATTATGATCCTTAAAATTTCATTTATTTTTAACTTGTTTGACTTTCCTGATTGGTTGGTCTGAAGGATTGTATGAATCAATAGCTATCATACTTGCCTCTTTGATTTTTACTGCATGATCCTTCTTATTAATTCTTTTGTGCAAAACTGTCTCATCCCAAGCAAACAAATTAAAAAACCATCTTCCAACAAATCTTATTGATAGAGTTATTCTTCTAGCATATATTTTTAGAGTTTAGGATAAATTTTGGTTCTTGAAACTGACTGGGATGATCTAATAAGCATTATTATTGATGTAAAACTTTAGGCCTTAGTGGCACGTTCAAAATTAATCTGGCAAACGGCTAACCATCTTGAAGTTCAATTTTTTTTTTTGTTTTTTTGGATAAGAAGTTCATTAATTCATCTAGCTAATTATTGATGTGGGCACTAATTGAATTGGTGCTTGATTCTTCTCTTTTACTGTGGTATCGCACCTTAACTGGCGAAACTTATTCATGGTAGAACATGTTAAACTGATGTTTGTCTAATGTCATGATTATACCATTATTCCTGGGCAATGGATGAAGTGATGGTATCAGAGTTTAAAATGACTTAGTTTGATGGGTTCAGTGAAGTTCGTGTCGAAGGGTTAGAGAAACTTGATTATCTGGATAACTTGCAAAACAAGGAGCGTATTACCGAACAGGGAGATGCAATAACATTTGAAACAGAAGTGAGTTCATGATGACTATTTTTCTTTGCTTATGCTTGACTATGGTTTACTGTTTACTATATTTTTAATTGTGATTAAACAGGTGGACAAGGTATACCTCAGTACTCCTACAAAAATTGCAATTCTGGATCATGAAAAGAAGAGAACCTTCGTAATACACAAAGATGGATTCCCTGATGCTGGTGAAGTTTATATATATATTTTTAATGATATCCTTGCTATTTTTATTTTGTATATGGGACCTGATACTTCTTAGGTTTAAGCAATATTTCTATTATACTCTCTAACTCATAAACAAGAATACTTCATATTTACATTGTTAGAACTTGAAAATAAAGCTTTATCATGTTGTTCATTGCTAATTATTAATGGTAGAAAAACTACTTTTTTTTCTTAGGCGTAAGACTACTTTAACATGAATTATGACTGTGAGTTTGAGTTATCTACTCTCGCAATGATATTTCCTCCAATCACCATCAACCTGTGAAAACCTTTTTTATAGACTATTGTTTAGATGATTGCAACTAGTTGTGGAACTACTTTATCTTTCTCTTTTTAGATCTATATGCTTGATATGTATCTTGAACTTAGGCTTGACATTTTTACCAGCTCTTGTAGATATACCAAATGCTGGAAATGTTTGCATATATGAAATGCAGAAAAACAGTCCAGTAAAGAGTATCCTGAAATGCTTTTTCACATGTTAATATTTGGAGGCTGTCTCTTTTGCTCTAATATTCTTATTTCTTTTGCATGCAGTGGTGTGGAATCCATGGGATAAAAAGGCAAAGGCTATGGCCGATTTTGCAGATGATGAATACAAGCAAATGCTCTGTGTAGAGGCTGCTGCTATTGAGAAACCTATCACATTGAAACCTGGTGAGGAATGGAGAGGAAGGCAAGAACTTTCTGCTGTTCCTTCTAGCTACTGTAGTGGGCAACTTGATCCTGAGAGAGTCCTCCAGGGCAGCTGAATGATCCGTTACTGTGGTCAACATTAAGTAAAGGTAAATTTTGCTGAATGTTTTAAATTGCTAATATTTCTTATAAACATAAGGTGATAAGTTGTTTATTGGCCAATATGTAATGGTTTGGATCATTACTGTTATCTTTCTTTTTCTGGTATTTATGGTGAAGGCATGATACATGTGCATATCAGCCATACACGGTTTTGCTACTTCCATGCTTTTTCCTTTTTCTTCATCTCTTCTCCTCAATTTGGTTTTTGAGCCCAAGTAGAAACCCAACCTCAACTTGTAAAAATCAATGTGAACTTTCAAGGTTAGTACATGCAACATGGATCTTTTTCTTTGATGTGTTTGTATGGAATGGATTTCATTCCGACCGTACAAATGAATTAAAAACTTGTATCCTACAAAAGTTATAAAAGCTTGTAAAATTAATATGTTATATGTTGGGGTAATTTAGTCAGTCCCCTCTCTCTCTCTCTCTCTCTATATATATATATATATATATATAGATCACTTGAGAATATATATGTCTAAGTGGTCTATCTATCTATCTATGCATGTATTCTTAAATGGTCATTACTTTAACTTTTGGCTTTGTGGTTGTTTGCAGTCAGTCTCTTCTAGTTCTTAGGCATGTATGTGCTCTTATCTTATATCATTTATAATTAGTAGAGATAAGTATAGTATTTGTCCCCGATCTCGTTTTATAAGTAGAGAGTAGGCAGCTTTTGTCTGGTTTAAATTACCCTGATCTTGTTTTTATAAATAGAGATAGTGCTGTTTTTGTGTTAGCTACAATTGATTCTGTTTTGCTCACTAATTTCATCATGTCTTGCAACAATTGATTTGGTGAACTTTTTTTATCAACCAATCTCAGTAATGTCTAATAGAATCTAAATGCAGGAACTATGATGCAACAAGTTGATGGATCCCGGCTGAACAATTTTATTGATCCCCTGGATTCTTAGTGGTTGATGGATGGATCCATGAGGATCTAGCTAGGACATTGTAGAATAATGTTTCTTCCCAGGATGACTGTTTTTCAACCAAAATACAAATGGATGACAATATTGGGGATTGTCAAGTGAACCAAACAAAGCTTAATATAGAATTGATGTGAAATTGTATCTTGTCAATGGAGTCTCCTCTTGTGCCAAGTATGTTGTTCCTTCGCTGCTATCATATGTGCTTTTCATGAACTAAAGGGAGCAGTTATTAATATGTTGAAGACTGTTATTACGGCTATGGATGAGCAGTTAGGCTTTGTAAGAATCTACTAATTCAATTGAGTTGGATTATTTATCTTTTATTCAAAGAGTCAAGTTTATGAACTATATTCAGTTGTATAATATATGCCAAATTGCCAATAAAGCCTTATTTATTTAAGTGGTAAAGAGGAGGCTTCGAAATTTTCAAATTTAATTATGTGGGTTTCGTTTAATCTTACATGAAATTAATTGATTTCTTTTTTTAAAGTGTTCATCAATTATGATTGTAATCTTTATTGATACAAATAGTTTTATATAAAACAAAAAATTTTACTAGACTGATATAGAAAGTGGAGATGAAGAAGGCTACTAGCCTATTTACAACAATGCACATCCAACCCAAGGAATGGGCGATTCAATTACCCATTTATTCGGTTAAGTTGGAAAAACTTAAAATTAGAATTCGCAAGTTATGAACAAAGTACATTTGACCATGGGTCCATGTGAGGAGTTGAAAGGATACACGCATACAAATTAACTTTTTTTTAAAAAAAAAAGGTAAATGTTGTTCAACGGTTTAAGTCTTGTTTTATGCTTAGACCTTGGAAAAGCCAATGTGGATGTGGTCGTTTCCTTTCTCGATCAAATGTTGCGATGGAGCTGCTCATTGGAGTGTTGGGGCCACTGCAATCTTCTCCCTTCTCTGATTTGAATGAAGCTGATGAATCAAGCTCCTTAATTTCCTTATGAATTGACTGAGACTTCGTATCTACTAAGTCTTGACTATGGGGCTTGGATTTCTTTGGCATCTTCATGCTTGAGCTGCCTCCTCCAATGCTTAGTGTCAGTTCAACTTCACTATCTTCATCGGAGCCTTCCATGCTCATCTGGTTAATTCTGGAGTGCACAAGGGAGCTAGGCCCGGCTTGGTCTTCTTCAACAGCACTGGCTTCAGCGGAGATGTCCTCCCCAGCTGGCCTCTCGAGATCCAAGCCCCTTGCAAGTTTCATGGTGTCACCGGAGCAACTGCCACTCCTCTCCCTTGAGCTTGGATCACCTTGAACATGGATATTGTACCCACAAGTAGTTTGTGTTGTTAAATGGTGCTGGTTAATGAATTGGGAGTGGTTAATATCAGAGCTAGTCATAGGATCAGTCCAATATCTGTTTTGCTTAATTTCCCTTTTCAGCTCATCCATCAGCATCTTTTGAACACTATACAGCCGGTGAAGTTCTCGTACCTGCAATCCCATTGTTTTTTGGTTATTTTTCTTATGTTTCCACTACCACGATCAAGTGATAAACTTTTGAAAAATTGGTTTGCTGAAAGGTGAAATAGAATGGTTCTTAAATCATGCATTTTGAACATTATGGAGAGATAAAATGTATGGGGCATCTTGAATGGTGGAAAGAAACACTGTGGCTATGGCAATTTTAGCAGCTCGGCTAGAAACTACTGTTTGGTACATATGCGGATCTTGATGTCAAATTGTTTAATTATTGAAGAATTTGGAAATGCTAGCAAAGTTTCAGACCTTATAGATTTACAAATGTTGCTTTAAATTGTAATAAATGTTTCAATTTTAAAAATCAGATCATTTGCACAAACAAAAGTTTCACATATTTTCATTTTCCCTGACACATTGGTAATCATAAGTCGTAACCTTTTGGCAGAATGGTCATCTTGAGACCATGAACCTTAGATTTATTGAAGAAAAGAAAGAGAAATTTTATGTTCTCAGATGTCAATGCAAATTTATATTGGAATTTTTAATTGTAACGAATGTTAATGTTTCGACATACCTGGTGTTTGAAGATATCTTCATGCATCTGCATTGTCTTTCTGATAGATTCCATGTTAGGCCTTTCCAGCACCCTGTCCATGGAGCTGCGAAACCTGTCCATCCCAATCCTTTGACAATTCTCCTTCAGCGCTCTTGTTCGGAAATAGTCATCCACGAAATGCACAGTAAAGCTGCAGCTGTTGCTGTTTTCTGAACTAGCTAACGGATTTATCACAAACTCAAGTTTGGTTCCCATGCCTGAAATGGTTTAATTTAACCATTAAACTTATTGTAAGCTGGCAATAGCAATAATATTATCCAATTACAAGAAATCACACAGAACATATACAGTACTGAAAGCTGCCACCAGAATTAGCAAAAATCATACAAGACAACAATTTTCCTAGGAACATTTTTATTTTCCTTTTCTTACAAGCTTTTTTTCCTTGTCTGTTCTTTTCTTTATATACTCTTTTAAATGGGGTAGGTGTGGTTCATGAAAAGCCACTACAATGTATGTGGAGACAGAGTCTAGTTGTCGCCAAGTCTACGAGTCCAAAGTGACATCTGAGCACCAAAGACTAATGTAAAGATCAGATGAATCTTGAGTCATCTCCAACCTTGGCAATTGGAAGAAACCAATAAATCCTTTCATCTAGAAGGGTGGGGGGGGGGGTTCGTTCTTCAAATTTATTACATATTTGGCCTTCAGCATATATATCCTAAAGTATATACGGACCCAAACTTCAGTGGCTCCCTTTTTTCGTACCAAAAGCACTGGCTCCGCACATGAAAAAAGTTGCTGTTTTGAAACAGTAGTTTTTTTTCTTTTGCCAGCAATCGGAGAAGGGGGGCATCATGAATATTGTCCAGACTTGTATTGGGGAGCTCTTAAAGTGTTTTTGAACGGTACTCGGACAATGAAGAAGGAAGAAAAAGGAAATGGGATGTGGGCAACAAAGCGACCAAAAATGGATTGTGCTTCCTCTCTCTCTCTCTGTGGTGGTACTATCACTAGCCTTACAGTGGTCTTCATCTTCAAGAAGCTGTTCTCAAAAAGCGTCCACTTTTTTTTTTTAATCTTTCTTTGATTTGCACACATGATGAAATCTCATTAGAGATGAGGTTAATATGTTATGAAACATTAGCATAAACCCAAAAGCAATAAAAATAATTATATAATTCAACAGTAAACAGGATAAGAAAGAGAGATTCAGTTTATACAGTAATTTTCAGTTCAAGAACAATGAGGATACAAGCTCCTCTAGTGTTTCAACTTTCCACTGCAAATTATTGTGAAGAAAAAGACCATCTCTTCCACTTTCAAGCAGCTGAGATAATCACCATATATGCACAGAAAAAAATTTATACAACACTCAAAAACTGCAAGAAAGACAACCATAATTGGCATCAGCTAGGCCCATGAAAGAATATCTAGCTAACAAATAAAGATTTACACAAGAACACTAACAGTAAAACTCTCCTTCAATCAAAAGGTACATAGAAGAAGAAGGTTTGATGATCCTAGCTGATTATACCTGCAAGAAAAAGTTACCCAGATTGTGGTTCTTTACGAAGAGGCTCATTGAACATATTCCTCACTCAACCATCTCTTTTCATCCATAGGCAAAAGCCAAGAACACCAAAAAAGAACTAATTAATCACCCCAAAGGGCAACAACCACGACTCATTTTTTGGTGAAAAAAGGGACGGAGCAATCTAAGCAGGAAAAGAAAAAACAACTGAGTATACACCACACCAGCGAAAAAAAAAAAAAGTCTCTTCTTATGCCATAGAACAGGTTTCTCAGAGTTTTCTTAGAGAAACAACGAGCACTCTTACTAAAAAATTATAATCATGGTGTTAATAATTCAAGCTTGACAGGCTGTGAAAGAAGGAGGCAAGAAAAAGCTGGACACAATGTGTTTGTGTGAGTAATATTGTTTTGAGAGAGAGATAAAGCTGAATTTAATATTTATATGTATGATTGTATTGAACATATGGTATATTTTATTATTATATTTGTATATTTGAGTTGCAACTGTATTGTGAAGGAAGATCAAAGAAAGTGGCCACAGTGTTATTGTACTAGAAAACAAATGACAATCTCAAATATAAGCAATTGAACAAGATATTCCAGACAAGTCTTTGCAGGAAATCAAGATATGCATGAATGATATGGAAAGCTGGTGTTTTCTTTCTTAGAACAGTACAAAAACCAACTTCATTTTTATCGTTTTTTATCACTTTTTTTTTTTTCTTGGGCTTCCTTATCTCATTTATGGAAATTCATTGATTCCCATTTGAAAATTCTTTCTTATACATACATATATAAATATATATATATATATATATTGCTGTGTGTGCTAAACAACCATATCTAGTCCTCTGCTGTGATTGAGATTTTATCAGAGTAGAAATTCAGATATAAATTGAGATTCAAATTACGTATATTGTACGCTCTCTTGGCATTTGGCAGCATTAAATTATTTAGGCAGTGAAGTTAAATATGGTCAAAAGCTTACAATTACTATTGTACATCAGATGTAAGTGAATGATTGATATATGAAACGACATAATTTTAATGGGAACTTAATGTAGGATTATCATAATCAGTTAAATTCTTAGATATATTACAATATTTAAGGATTTGATTCAAAGCAAAATGTATGTATTTCATCCTCAAAGAATTAAATTTGAATTTAAAATAAAAGAACTCAAGAATATCACCAAAATCATCAACTAAAAACAAAATCTTCTGGGATTTTTTCGAGTAAATTTAACTCTTATGTTTGTCTCACAAAGGTAAGTAACAATGATATTTTTCCCACATATATTTAAAAATCCAGTTAAGCCATATCATTCTTGGTAAGAAGAGACGCCAAAGTTCATTGAAAACTCACATTACAAAATCATGATTAAGATGTACTAAATAAAAATGTTCAAATTAGGATAGATGATTGGTAGTATAACAAAAATCAAGCACATAGAGATTTGAGATGGGAAAAGGGCAATTTCCCATTCTTCACTTTCTTCCAAAAGCTAAAGGTCCAAAACTTACCTGTCTGTCCCCATGTAATTATAAAAAATACTAAATCCCAAACCTTTCAAACTCACAAATTCTGATCCGGAGAAATCACAACCACACACATCCACATGCTTTCAGGTTATTATATAATTCGATGATTGCTTTCACGTTTTTTTATATTAATGCAGGAGCATGCCTTGCCCTTGTCTTCTACTTGTTTGTTTCTCCGCCAAAATTCCCGTGACCTAACCGGCGGTAGCAGTTTTGCATCGGAAAGTTTGGGTGTGCGAGTGTGATTTATACAAAATTTTATGTTAATTTAAATTAATTGGTTTTAAATTAATAATATATTTTATTTTAAAAAAATATATGTGTTTTTTTTTTTTTTAATTTGAGATAAGTAGATTGTTAAGTCTTTCAAATTAAGATAATATATATCATATTTAATAACGTAAGATAAATGATTACAGATTATACATTTCAAAATAATCTTAACAAGTGATTATCGACAAGATTTGAACTCAAAAAATTTTTATCAAAAAAATAAATTTTAATCGATTAAATTAATCATTTATTGATAATAAACTATCACCAATAATAAATAATTAAAAGCGATGTCTAAACATCTTAAATAAGTGCGAATAATATTTCATATTAGATAGACATTTCACATTTAGAAATTTAGATGTATTTGTGCAGTTTATACGAACTTTCACGTTAATTTAAATTAATCAATTTTAAATTAATAATGTATCATGTCTCTAAATAAAAAAAAATTAATAGTAGGCAACTGCAATTGAATCACATCCATGTACATGTTTAAGATTCAAAGTTGGAATTGTTTCGTATCTTCAAATTTCTGGTATATATCTATGTGAACGAAAAATTGTCTAATCTATAGAGCTATTTGTATGCCGAGTAAAAATAAAACAACGACCTGATTTGCATAATTCGCGAGAATCCAGTAAAATGAGATGAATTGAATCCGGATAGGTCTGAAAAAAGGAAGAACTGACTAATGTTTTTGTGTTTCAATACCTTTTAACTATTTCTAAGGGACCACTAACCTAACTTTTTTCCAATTTTCACACTTGCATTTCTGGCAAAAGTGGAGCTGAATGAAGCTCCCCGGCACCCTGGGTCCACAAAATGCAAGTGTTTGATGCTTGCTCAATGTCTTATCCCTTCTGAGGTTTTTTTTTCTTGATATGATGTTTTCAGAAGAACCTGTTCAACTTTGGCATATTGTAATTCAAGTGCCACACTGACATTGTTGTAGAGGTGAAAGGTTTGATTTTAGTTAACAGCTCGTTGGGGCCTATTACTGGGGTTTTGGGAAAATGTGTGAATCTGGCTATATATATTAAAAAAGGCCTCTGAACTAGACTTTTTTAAACTTAAGATTTAAAGTTTAATCATTAATTATTGAATGACCACATATTGGAACCATTAAGTAACCTGTCACATGGAGAGGGGAAACACATCAGAAAGGAATAAAAAGGAAAACCAAGATTACCGTGATGATTACTCTATTTGGAGATCTCATGGTGATCCTAGGAGACTAATCAAATAAGATAAACAAATTGATAAAGAAAAAAAATGAAACTATATAATAAAGTATTAATGAAATTAAGAGGTCAATCAAACATGCGTGGTTTAGCCATGTGAGGTGGTCACGTGGCTGATGAGCCATATGTTCTTCCTACCTAACTCCTCATCTTTTGAAGCCCTGGATCATAGAAATGGCAGTGCTCACAAACAAAATAAGGATATGGAGAGAAGGGGAATTCCCCGTCCCTCCATTTTTCTTGGAAGATGGCGTCATTTCCTATGAGATTTTTGTTTGGCAGGGCTAGCCATGGAAAATGGCTGTTCTCTGGACAAGATTAATTTGCCTGAGTATCTAGTCTCTTTCACGTCCGTTTTTAAAATTCCTATTCACTATTAATTGCTGCTTTCTTCACTGATTGATTGGTCGGTTTTCAGACCCAGTGAACAGTTGCGTTGTACTATGATGTCTTCGTCAACATTTGCCTGCTTGTTGAAAGATAGTTGGCCATTTATGATTGTTTTTTTCCAATACATTTGAGGACATCTTTTCTGAAAAAAAAAGAGCGGATTAAACAATATTGTTTTTTATTTAAAATTCAACTCTTAGAAATTATAACAAAAAGATATTTATTTTTTCATAAAACTATTTTTAAAGTAAAATAGCATGTCTATTTTTAAAAGACTCCCATTCAAATTCTTGAATAAATTATTTTTTTTATTTAATATTATTGGAGATAGATAGGTTGTTGTTTAAAAAATTTTTAAAAGCAGCATTTAAGATTAACATTTTATAAAGAAGTGAGCGAAATGATTAATTGAGTTAATTTCTTTTTAGCTATTAATCAAAATATTTAACATTGTTATATATTTCTTATTTCATTTGATTTTATCAATTAATTAAACAACTTGAACTAAAAAATTTCTGGGAAGCAAAATCATCTAATAGATATCTTCTTTAACAACCAAACATAATCGGATTTAACATAATTAACTTCATATAATTCAGTTATTCAAATAACCTTAAGAAAACACACATACATACACAAAAGCTTAACAGATGATCCAAAGTTCAAAATCCAGAAGGAATTGAACTAAACTATGACAACAAAAAGGCTAATTCCAACTCTAAAACACTTGTGATTCCAAATTAATTTGAATGTTAGAATGATAAAATTGAATCAGTATTAATCCGGTTGTTGAGTCATTTCATATATATTCATCAAATTGAGTAATTTGGATTAGATTTTTTTTTTGTCACAAATGCATGGGCAAATTTAAATAAGTTTCAAAGATCAAATTAAGGAGATAAAGAGAGATGACAATAGCACATGATGAATTATGACAATTGTTAATGTAAACATGAAAACAACTAACTGAGACTGCCATGAAGGAATTTTTTGTATTTAAAATTATTATAGATTAAATTTTATTTAATAAAATTAAAAAATATAATTCTATCAGTAAAAAAATTCAATTATTAAATAATAAAACTAATTTTTAAATCTTAAGAAAGAGGGAGGAAAGGACGCATGATCCCTGTTACATGTATTCTCTTAATTACATGTGAAACAGAGGAGAGAGGGTACAAATGGTTCAATTAAACTTCAAAATCTCATGGTTGATCGGATTGGAATGAGCAAGCACGCGTTGTAGCCTATGAGAGGCACAAGCCGCGAGATTTGGACCTCATTCTTCCCACCCCCTATGGTTTTTTCAACCCTAGCATCCTCCCTTAAATTTATATAATTATTTAAAATATAATATAAAATTATAAAAATAATATAATTTAAATTTTTAATAATTATTATATATAAATTAAATTAAATTAAAATATATATTACATAATTTTATATTAATATAAATTATAATATATAATTTATATGTATAAAATATGATACAAACTTAAATTTTAATATTTTATATAATACAAATAAATAAATCATCATACTTACATAATCGATCGTTACAATTCATAAAAAATCTCCAACGTCCTTATCCTATTTCAAACATTTTTTTAATTTTTTTTAATTAAATAAATATTTCATCACAAGTTCCTATCTCATTAATTATTTTAATATAATTATATAATTAAACTTTAAAAATATTTTACGTTGACAAATCTATCCAACATATCAATATGGATACGAGAATTAACTGAGCTTGATTGGTAAAATCGCTCATAACAAATTATTAAACGTTCGAATTTTATCGGCTGACTTGTATTCCTAGTAAAATCTCACTGTTGGCTTTTTAATTTTGAATTAGAGCAATCTTTATATGATCATTTATTAATTAATAATTAATTTTTTATATTTAAAAAAATATTTTGTTAAGATAGATCTTTTAGTTACGTTGGTCGAATTTCAAAATTTTATTGTCAGTATGCAAAATAATTTTTAAAAAATAAAATTTTTTCATACTAGAACCGAATTAATTTCAAGGGAGACCCCAAAATATGTATATATATATATATATATATTATATATTTATATATTTTATATATAATTAAAACCCACCAATGTCAATAGTTCACATTCTATTGGTTGCTTGAATATGAACCAATGGCAGCCAAATAAAATGCTCTCAATGATCAATAGATTCATCAGGACCTAAGAGTCACATTCGAAACTTATTGATGTCATATGAGCCTTTGGGTGTTCAACGTCCATTGGCTCGATATGTCAAGAGTGGGGGTCGATCAACATATTTCCAAACAACATTTGTCAGAAACCCAGCAAGGGAAAATGATTTTTTTTTTTTTGGCCCCTCACTTACAAAATTGTTGTTTACCATCTCCCAAGTGGAGAAAAACTAGTATTCACTTTGTGATTTGACTTCGATGTGGAGATAAGGTGATTAGTTGAGATTCTTCAAGGGGGCATTCACTTTGTAGGTTGCTGATTAAACAAGCAATTGACTCTTATGTTGGATTTGTAGATAAGCATGTCAAGCTTTAAAGGTAAAATTTCCCATATTGGTCAGAGTAAAAAGGATTCCATTACTTGATTAAGATTTCCACCAACACCAATTTAGTATCTAAAACCCATTGAGATTTCCATAACCCACTTTTATCGTTGATTCTTCTTTCTTATCAGACTTTGAGCATAAACTTTTTTAAAGGATAATGACATAAAGTTGGTAACTGTCTCTTGTTACCCATTAATGAATAAATGCTTTGAGCATAAGTGAGCCCGTCATTTATATTGTAACAATTATTTAATCTGTTGATAAGATATTAAAATTTTAATTTTAATGATAATTATTCAAGTTTTGATAATTTTAAAATAAAAAAAAACCATAGTATATTTAGATCATCAATATGCAAATTTTTCAACATAATCGACATACTATGAGACCTCGAATTCTTTGTTCAGCTTGCAAGATTTGCCCATTTTTGTATGGAACTATTAAGTCAAATGTTTATGTATATTAGAATCTATGAAATAATTAAGTCATGTTACAATTCAATCGCAACGAATTATTAGATTTCAAACCAATCATATATAATGATATTTAAAACAATAATAATTATTTTAAATTGGAAAAAAAAAAAAAAGAGTCTAATGCCAGTTCTGTTGCTTGATGTGATGAAGCCCTAGCTAAGCTATTATGAAATTATTACCAAGCAATTAATAAAAAACTGGTATAATTTAAAGAATATGAAGGACGGCAAAAATCATGTTACAGCCAAGCCACTCAAAAAGAAGAGAAGATTCTTTGAAGGCATCATTCTTAAAAATAGAAAAAATTCTATTGCCTCCACTTCAGTTTCCACATTGATTGCAACAGATTGGGAGTGTATGACTTAAATTAAACCAATGAAAGAATCAATTTCGACAAAAATGATTTGGATTATTTTATTTTTGGGCTGAACCGAAAAGGCTTATCTTCTCTGGATCCAATACCATCTCTCATTTTAATAACAATATCTTCTCATCCCCACGTTCTTCTTACCTACGTTTCTCCTAATTCTTTTTTTTTTTTTTTTTTGAGTTTGGTCCTTCAATTATTGTTGTCAAAATCATCCTAATTTTTTAATCTTCATTTGCCATTTGATACAAAGTACAAAGTGGATGCATTATGTTGCAAAGAAAAAGCAACATTTAACTGATAGGTTTCGGAGAATAATTTTTTATATACATATATATGATTTAGGGTTAGACTTTGGCAATTTGATTAGTTTTGAACTCACATGCAAAGGTTGAGAGTGACATAAGCAAATGTGCCAATCTTGGCAGTGCCATATAGATGAGTTCTTATTATATGTGTGATATTATTACTTGTTTAATGTACTGAAAATAATTGAAGTATGTAGGATCACATGGAGAAGACACTGCTCTCGACCGGTATGTATTAAGAATTTAAGGAAGGGAACAGACAGGAATCTTAAATCCTGATTGCATTGCCCTTAGGTGACCTGTTTGTGTTTAATGGGAGAAATCGAATTAGACAAAAAGACCCAAGCTATTATAAATTTAAACTTAATCAAATGGAATATAATGTGTATTTTCTTCGAAATGTTGTGGATAGATTAAAAAAGTTTTTTTAGGATTAAAATATTAATTAGTCTTAAATTCTCGATGATGTATTGAGTTTTTTTTATACCTATTGAAAATTATATATTAAGTACATTTTAATAACTATATAATTTTACATATAAAAGGATATGGGTAGAAGAAATTTTAATTAGCATATAAGGTTAATGTAAGAAAAATTATGAAAAATTGTAAAATAATCGTAACTAAAATGTATTTGATGGTTATAGGTATTTTGTTATTTTCACAACTAGTAATTAATTATTTTGATTTTTCCAAAAAAAAAAAAAAAGGTATGTTGAAAAAATTAAAAAACTTTCCAAAATGTTTATCAAACAAAACCTCGGCTGAAAGATAATAAATACAGTATTGGTAATTTTCCACATATGGGTACTGTGTTATCAACTCAGCATTCCAATTGGAGTTCTTTTTTCTTGGGTTATACTCAATATCTAAGCCCATTGGTTAAGACAAGTTTGGGCTTATGAACCGTTTTGCTTATTGCATTTTACCTTGTGATTTGTGAACCGATTAGGTCCATTTCGTGAATTTTGCAGTGAAAATAATGAGAATTAAGTTGGGTATATTTTGATTACATAAATGTAATAAAAAAAATTTTATTCATTGTCAATTGATTTTAAGTTCTATCCTTATAAATTTAAAACACGGTATATTTGTCTCAATATTATCATTTGTGGTGAATGGAATTGCCACCAAGGCCAAACCAGTGCTGTTATCCACAAAAAAGCTCTGGCCAATCTTGGCAGACTGGCCTTTTATCATCTTCCATAGCCAATCAAAAACTACTGTAAAACAACAGAGACAGACTCCTATATAAGTAATGATTGTTATAGTTAAACTCTGTTGGAGAATTCTTTTCTTTTTAGATGGGGTGTCATTGGTAGTAATTGTAGAACACAAATAGCCAGATATGAGTGCAATCTCCTCCATACAGACACAAGCAACACTCAAAGCAAGACATATTGCAGCATTGAACCCATGTTTCTCTTCATCTAAGGAAGCCTTACCTCCATGTTTATCTCTCTTTAAGGTACCACTTTAAGTCCTTAACTTCTTACAGTTTCATTGTATTATCTTCAATGCAATCTTTGGTGAGTTTTTAATGTCTGCTGTTTTTATCTTTAGAACCCCATTTCAGGTTCAGGTGGTTTCTCCTCGAAGGACAATGCTTTTCTTAGGGGCCAATTTGACAACACACAATTTCTGAGTTTTTGTTCAAGCCGTGCTCGGAGAAAGCAACGAGGTATTTATAATGCAATTGATCTCCTTTGGTTTCAATTTTTGAGACATGTTTGCTAGGCTTTTAGATAATTCATTTGATCATGATATTCTTGAAGAAATTGTGATTATAATTGTTGTGATAGGTTTCATAGAATGAAATTTGATACATTCAAAAACAGCTGGGGTGCTTTTGTGGGTTAATTAGATTGCTATGTCCTCTTCATTTTTATGGGGAGTGCATTGGCCATGTAATATAGCCAGTATTCAAATCCCTATCAGAGATTTTTTTTCCCTTTTATCTTATTTTCTTAAACAAAAAAAAAAGTGATTGTGATGAAAAATCGTATGAAAACCTATATTCAACTTGCCATAGATAGCATCCGATTATTTGACTCAATGAATGATTGATGCATATATATATATATATATATATCATTCTGCAATCTTGAAACATAGAACATGACGTTCAAGAATAATTATCTTTCTCCTTTTCTCACTGCATCTTTTATAAACCTTGACTTAACTTGCCTCTAACCATTTGGCTTCATAGAGTTGAATCTTGCATGAGATATCTATAACTTGTGTTCTTCCTTTTCTCCATATGCTCAATGACAAAATTTTAAGTTAATAAAATCCGACTGAAATAGAAAATTTGAACGAAGTTGTGATTTTCCAATGCCAAAGGGCTTGTTGTTTCACCAAGCTGTGTCCTTCCACTCACCGAGGAGAATGTCGAGAAGGTTTTGGATGAGGTACGTCCTGGCTTAATGGCTGATGGAGGAAATGTGGCTTTGCACGAAATAGATGGCCTTGTTGTGGTATTAAAGTTGCAAGGAGCATGCGGCTCATGTCCAAGCTCAACAATGACCCTAAAGAGGGGAATTGAAACTCGCCTCCGAGATAAAATTCCTGAAATTATGGAAGTAGAGCAGATCCTGGACACTGAGACAGGACTTGAGCTAAATGAAGAAAATGTTGAGAAGGTTAGATTACTGAATCTCTAATGACTGAGTTTTTTCACTCATTTTTTTTCTCATTTCTTCATAGCTTAATCATCTAATGTTGATTCTTCATGAATTAACTTGATAATCTCACAATAAACAACATGGGAACTTCTGATTTAAAATATGGGAAAACTTGAACTAAGAAATTGTTTACTTTTCTTGATGAAAGATTGCATTAACAGCAATGATGTATAAATTACTCTAATAATCAATATGCTATTCAGATACTTAATATTACTCTCAAATGATTGAGTAACTACTCGTGAATAATGTTTTTCTGGTGGAGAAAGAAGTTAACGTAGAGTTTTGTATTGCAGGTTCTTGATGAGATTAGACCGTACCTTGTAGGCACGGGAGGTGGAGAACTTGAGCTTGTTCAGATAAATGACTACGTTGTAAAAGTTCGGCTTAGTGGACCTGCAGCTGGAGTTATGACTGTTCGTGTTGCTTTAACTCAAAAATTGAGGGAAAAAATACCTGCTATTGCAGCTGTTCAACTGCTTGATTGAAAGGAAACAATACGAAACATCATTTTTGTAAAGCTGAAATTTGAAATGCCATTCACTTCCCATATTCCTCATACAAGGCTAATTGAACTCTTAAATCCTTCCATTAAGATAACATTCCAAGTATTTTTGAATTGATGGATTGTGTTTGGAGATGTTTCTGACAGAAAATAGCTGTTTGGGCATAGATTTCTTATTATATTCTTAACCAAATAGAAACAGGGTTGATAGTTAAATCCTTGTATGATATGAGTGTCATCAAATTTGACTTCCTAACATAGCAAGGGAAACAAGAGATAACAAAATGAATGAACTTAACTCCATACTGGGAAAAAAAAAATTGACTTAAAAGAAATAACTTTTCCACCTAAAACGCAAGTGGTAACGATGTTTTCTTCTTGCAGCATGGTTTCCTTTGATCGTTGCAGAAAATAGATTAGTAAATAATGGAAAGAAGTGCTGCCCAATATCCTTCGTCAACAGAATATTATGACACTTATAGATATCAGGTGAGACAATTGGTAAGAGAACTTTTTCCAGCTTCCTCTTTTTTCCTTTCATTTTGAGAATTCCAAAGTGGGAGGCTGCATCATTCATGGAAGTTCATCAAATTATACATTATATTTTCACAGTTAAATACAACAGTGGATACTGGTATGTTAATAGAACATCTCTATTAATCATTTTACCAAAGTTTCAAAATGTTTTGTTGCCTTTCTATTTACTAATAATCGTCTTCATCTCTTGATCCAAGGAATCTCCTCACAACAGCTGCAACAGCACCAAGAAACAAAAAGAAGACAACAGTTTCGAATCCAACTCCAACACCAATTACAACACTGGGACCAGGGGCAAAGAAGGAAAATGGCGACACACCGAAACCATATCCATACCCTCCAACCAGAGGTGGGGTGACTGGTGGATTGATATATATATTGGTCCTGGACAAACATTAGCTTGAGCAGGTCTCCTTTTATAAGAACAAGCAAGTCTACCATTTATCAGAACTTGCAATAATGCCCTCTATCTTTGCTTTTAAATTAGTTTCATGTGTACATTACAACCACAAAATGAGCATTTTTAACTGCTTTTTTTAATTTCTATTGAAAGAAGTAGTGTCTTGTTTCCCCCCTATACATGGCTCATATTCACAGCTAAATTCTCTCAAACAACACGTTGAAGAAATCAAAGTACCCAATTAATATTATCTGTTCAATATTCATCAATAGTGTTAAAAAAATCCTATTTGAATCAATCTAAGTAAAGTGGATGCCAAAACCAGTGGCATAAACAAAACTAGCAAACACCAACAAATTGCTAATAGCGCAACTGATGAATTACCTTGAATTGCTGTTGGCTCTTGGGGCTGAGCGAGGAGCTGATGACCGGAACGCTTGACCACCAACTCTACCACCAGTCTTGGCAGCTGATGCATCAGCAACTGAGCCCAGAGTCAAGACCCCAGCTGCCAGTGTCACTATTGCTAGCTTTGCAATCTGCTTCTCATTTCTCCTTTAGAAAAATTCATCACAAACCCTCATTCATAGAACATGGTAAGATTCTAAAATAGTAAGATTCTAGGAAACAAGGAATAAAAAAAAAAATAGAAAAAGTGAGATGCAAGGAAATTAACTACCAGGCAGAATCTTTGTGGTCATCAGACTGGAATCTGCAAGAGATAAAAGCAGGAGAATTGAGAGGCTTAGATTTGGGTTTGTGAGTAAATTTAATAGCGTTGGTTAGGAAACCTCGTTGAGATAATGACCCAACGGACATGTTTGGTCTCTTACAAGAAAATCTGAGTTAGGATATTAATTCTGGTGAGTGCCGGTAAATGATCTGTTTTTGTTCGTGTTCCCGAGTATTTTGTTCATCTTTGTTCATGATAAGGCCATTGCCACGTGGTCGAATTGTAATGGCTACACCGAAGTTCCAAGAATAAGATATCTAAGAGTCAGAGAAAGTTTACTTAAACCTAAAACACCCATCCAATCCACCCAAACCCAATCAAATTCAATTTGATCGATTGCCAATAATTCAGACGTGTTCAACTCAAACTCCAATAAATTCGAATCTAAAATGATTGAAATATAAAAGATCGAAGATTAATCTGAAATAATTTAAAATTAATTAATTTAACTTTCAAACAAAATAATTTGGATTAAAAAAAATCCAAACCGAAACTATCAAAAACTAAAATAACTTCGAATTTTTCTAGACCCAATTGCCACCTTTACCACCTTTATTTAGGACCCCTTTGAATTTGTAATCCGTATTTAGTTAAGATTACGTGAATCGAACACTTTTGCATTTATCATTTATTTTTCAATTAATCAATAACATGTAACAAACCTTTGCGTACATAATCTCTCAACATTATCCAATCGTTTTAGCATTTGAAATCTCAATGAGACATGATATATAATTAAACATCTACTCCAGGCACATTGAACCATGTTAGTTCTTGAGCTCAAAGATATTAACTCTATAAATGAAATTTAAAACTCTTTCAAAATCTTAAATCAGTGATCAAGGCTTTTTTGAGTTAATGCTTATAAAAAATCAATAAAACATTCTCTCCAATAACTTAGGGTGATTAATTCACTATTAATCACTCATCTACTTTCGTATGATTCATGTTATATCTACTATGCATCCCATTGAACATCTTTGGTTATTAGTTCTCTTGAAGATGACATCTAACTAATACCAGTTATTAGATTTTAATAAAACGCTTTCAATTCAATTAAACATCCACATTAGTGGAATCAAATTTAAGTAATCAATCAATCACATAAAAAAATAATTTAGGTGCTTTAATCCAATCAATTTACATTCACAAATGAGAAAAACAATCTAATAGTTGTAGATCTTTACAAATATACAAATCCTCAATACTCAATCCCAAACAATAATAATAGACTCTCTCGTTCTCTCTAATCCTATGGAATATTTTTAACTCAAATAAACACATAACCATGCGCAACCATACATATGTGGACCATCTAAATCTCTTCTAATTCACCTAAACAAAACAATCATCGTACATGTGTGAACTCTCTCAATCTCCTCTACTCCACTTACAAACATTCACACATACACACCTATAAGAACGCTCTCACTCTCCTCTACTATAAGGTGTCCGCTCAATAAAACCCTACAATTCTTCTACATATTTTTCTCATACTTAACTCTATAAAAACTTCACCTATTTATAACCGTACTAACTTACCTATCAAGAATCTTTTTTTAATTCTTTTTTTGTAAGTTTTTTATCTATCAAACAATATCTAACCAATTTTAAACAAATCTCTTATGAAATTTTAATGTCAATAATCTCCATCTTAACTCAAATTTCATTTAATCATCAATTTTGATGTTAGATATGCTTTACTCCACCTATAATGGAATCTCACAACAAGTTTTTTTTGTGTCTTCACGCTTCGCGTAAACCTATCTTCAAAATACGAACTCGAATCTTTGCTTAAATCAAGCTCCTCTGAGTTCGTCTCTTCTCATGTTTCGAGCCTTTAGCTCTAATACTAGTTGTTAGGCTAAAAGCCCCTAATTCAATTAAACATCTAAACCATCGAAAGCAAATTCAAACAATCACTCAATCACACGATACAACAATTTAACGTGATTCAACCCAACTGATCTACATCTACGGATGAGACAAAAGATCCACTAGTTGTAGAAAATTACAAACATACAAATCATCAATACTCAATCCCAAACAATACCCATAGGATATCTCTTTCTCCTCTAGTCTTATAGAGTATTCTCAACCTAAACAAACATATACTCGTGTGCAACCATCCTTATGTGGACCATTTCAATCCCTTCTAGTCTACTTAAACAAAACAATCATCATACTTATGTAAACACTCTCGTTCTCCTTTAGAACACTCAAATACATCCATAATGACGCTCTTAATCTCTTCAATTCCTATGGGATGTCTACTTAATAATCCTTACAACTCTCTTATATCTATTTCTCATATCTAACTCTATAAAGATTCCATCTATTTATAACCATAGTAATTTGCCTTATCAAGAATCCCTTTCCCCTTAAAAATTTTCTTTTGCAAACCTTCTTATCCATCAAATAAAATCTAGCCAATCTAAAGAGATTTGAGTTACTATTCCCAAAAAAACACAACAATCTTATGCAAGATAGATAATGATATCAAAACTTAATATCATTGATACACTTATCACATAAGAATTTTATCATGAACATTTAAGTTATATTCCATATATCATTCTCATAACAAGTTATGTTCAATGAACTATTCTTTAACAGAGACACACATGTCAGGTGAAGTATATTCTTTAACAACGCCTCACATGTTAGGTTAAGTATATTCATACGTTAATTATGAGATTACTTGTGTAAAAGTAAGAACACAAACTTGTGTCATTCTCATGGCATTATCAATATCCCATCTTGATAAAACACTAATCAGAAACATTTAACATAACATTTAATATGTCATATATTCATTGTCGAATTGACCATAAAAATTACACTAACATGAACTAAATTGACCAGGTTCATTTGACCCCACTGAACTGCATTGAGCTCTTTCCTTGGCTGCTAAATCACTGAAACAAGAAAAAAAGGAAAAAAGAAGAATCATGTCAACCTAAGACCTTGGGAAAAAAGAAAGATGCATTTTTTCCCCATTTTTGCAGAGATGAAATTGTGAACTTAACAAGCATTTTTCAAAAATGAAAATTAAAACATGCTTCCCACCCCCCCCCCCACCCCAAAGATTATGTTTTCTTCTTTCAGTTTTATATGGATGAAATTTGAAAAATCTTTTCTTATTGGTCATTGGGTTTTATTTTATTTTCCTTTGCACGGATGAAAAAAGAAACCCACCGTAGCAGTTTGTTTAGCCTAGCAGCAGCCATAAAATCGCTTTGGTCTCGTGCCCTTGCAATCAGGAACATCAGAGCAAGGCGGAGTTGAGTACAAACACTTCCTCGGGAGAATTTTTCTGTAACTAGCCTTTGACTTTCTTTAATACGTTTCTGCTCCTCTGAAATCTCTTCCATTTTTGCGTTTAACATTGTCATACGTGTATTCATACGTTTCATTATAGTCTTTCTCTGCTGACAAAATCAAACAATCAAATGAATAAAGAAGTGCTATAGTTTTATTGTATTTTACAAAAGCAATAGGCAATAGACTTGTCCAAATAAGATAATGGATCAAATAACAAATTGTTTTTGTTCCAGTATTTTTCAATTCAATTGACTTTAAAACTTATTTCACGCGTTTTTTATTTATTTTCGGGTCTAAAAATTTGTTAATTTGATCTTAAATTCATCTATGGATCCTTAAATTTATTTTTAATAGGCTTTAGGTCCAATACAAAATTAATCTGTCTTTTTATTCTTTTTTATATGTTTCTTTTGCTTTTTAAGTTTATTTTTCTTTTCTATTTTTTAATGAAATCCGAAAATAAAAAAATAGAATATAAAAAATGATAGGAAGGAGAATCTGATACTCTAATTGAATAAACCCTAAAATTGCCAAGTAATAAGGGGAATTAATGAATTCAGAAAGGAAGGATTGAAAGATCAGGTCAATTGAAAATCAAAATCGAAATCAGCAAATTTTCTGGAAAATCTTGGAGTTGAAAAATCTGGGAAACCGAGAAAAATCAGTCAAAAAATAATTTCATGAAAAGAATAAAAGGAAAGTCCAGTTCAAGTTAGGTTATATATGAGTTCAAGTTATTTTATATCTTGTTTATTTGATTAATTGAGAACAATAAAACACATTTAATCGGACAGTTTTTTTAAGAAAGTAAGTATTAAGCAGATAATAGATCAAGTGAAATTGCAATCATTTTTTTTTTTTAATTTTTTTCTCTTACTTAGAGGAAAAAAACTTGGCGAGAAAATAAAAATAAAAAAGTAAATCTATTACCAGTTCTGTTATGTTATTAAAAATTATAAAGCAAAGAGAAAGATAAACGACCTTTTCTCCTTTCAACTTCCTTCTGTTTTGAGCACCGCGCTTCTTCAGGATTGCCTGCAAAATCAACGAAACAAGAAATAAGAGATTTTTTTATCGATGAAATTAACCAAAACACAAGAAAGAGGTTTATTGGGTACCAACCATGGTGAGAGGTGTACGGCGGGCTGAGAGCCATCAAAATGCTACGATCCGAGTGGATGCAAAAGTCAACGACTTTGGTTAGATGTAAGAGACAGCGTAAGGACGCAGGACAGAATAGCACCCTTTTATTGCATAACTTTCTACCGCAAGGTTAGAGAAGGCAAAATAGATGGGCAACTCGCAGCATGACATGGCCCATCCCATTACGGGCTGTGCTTGTGATCCATGGACGAATACCATATGGCTAGTATGGGTCACTGGCTGGTATGTGCATGTGACCCAACATAACCCATCTCAAATGGGACGGTCCGATTTGGGTTGCAAGGCCTTGAGAAGCGAGCAGGCCCGGAAGAATGTAGTTGAAAATGGGGTTGTTGGGCCGAACACTTGGTTGGTGGCTTGGACTCCGAAGAAAATATCGTAAGGGATTAAACTCCGACGATTCATTTATCTTCTAATAATTTGCTGGAGAGATTAAACATATATATATATATATATATGTATATGATCAGGTTTAAGTTTTAAATTTTTTGTTTAAGATTCATTCAAAATTTAAATGAGTATAAAATTTATATTCATATTCTTCAACGAATTTTAATTTTTTATTCAAATCTTCTTAAAATTTGAACAAATTTTCGAGTTTGGATAAATAATCTAATTTTTGAACAAATCAAATCTATAACTTTTATTAAACATTTCTCTTGCATAATAATAATAATAATAATAATAATAATAATAATAATAGAGTCTGCATGCATGGGAATTGGGAAGGATATGTGAGCTGGCTTTTAAAATTTTGGTACTTAATTCCCATTTCTTGTAAACCTTGCACGTGACTGTTTATACTCCATCTATTTCCAAATTAGGCATGGATACAAAAGCCGTGATGCAACCCACATGAATTCTCAAGATCCAACCGTATCTCTACTTTTAATTTAGGAAAAATGTTACGAAGGAAAAAAAAAAAAAAAAAAGCAAATAAGTGTTCGTTCTTGGACATATTCCCGACATGAAAATTAATATGTTGTCTTGTTTTTCAGTGCATTTTAGCTCATATCATTGTCACGTTTTAATTATTTTAAATTAAAGAACTATTCCAAATACTTTCGTTAATTCGTAATCTTTAATTTGGAAGATGAAGAACAAATACACGACAAATGTAGTCGTGGGGTCTTAATTTATTTTTCTTGTTATATATCAGTATAAATTTGTGACTTTGTTGAGCCATATATATAATTCCCATTATAGTTGGCGTACATTTGACGTCAATTGTGTTAAGCTAAAAGACCTTAATCAATTGAACATTTATGTCATAATAGTTTTGATATCATTTAATTAAAAAGTTACAATTCAATGAGAAAAAATAAAATCAAATAATTATTTAATCACATAAAAATAAAAATTTAATATAATTCAGTCCAATTAACTTATGTTTATAAGTGAGAAAAAAATATATTAATTGTAAAAAATTATAAATATATAATCTATATTAATAAGCGCTCAACAATCAATATACATAGATCTTCTCAATCTTCTCTTGTATTATGAATTATTTTCAATTTAAACAAACATATATTCATATGCACTCATGTGTCATGATCCTAAAAAAGGAGCCACAAATCTCATATCGACTGTGTACTATAGTTGATCTTGAAAATATGGGTTCACACTGCCCTCTCTTTGTGAAGCACCTTTTGTGGGATAAAATTGTGATGTTAGAGTGGATAATATTTCATAAAGATGTAGATCTTAAGCTAATTTGAGATGCCGGATGAGTGCATGTCTTGATTTTGAAGCCGCACGGGCCTAGAAGTTAAGTCTCGACCTTTGACAAGTGGTATTAGAGTCAACTTTGAAGGTACAAACAATGTGTCATCGAGAACAGTGGGCCCTCGTTAGTGTGGGAAAGGCTATCATGATCTTAGAGAAGAACCATGAATCTCATATCGATTGTGTACTAAAGTTGATCTTAGGATATATGGGTTCACATAACCCTCTTTTTATGAGATGCCTTTTGCGCGACAAAACTGTGAGACTAGAGGGATCAAAGCGAATAATACATCACAAAAGTATGAATTTTAAGCTGATATGAGATGTCGGATGAGTGTATACCTGAGTTTTGAAGTCGCCCGAGCTTGGAGGTTGAGTCTCAACCCGTGACACATGCACTATATCTATGTAGACCATTTCAATCTCTTTTAGTCTACTCACAAACATTCAAACATATATACTCATAAAATGTAAATCTCTAGTAGTCTTATGAGATGTCACCTCATAAAACTATACAACTCCCTTGCATCTTTTTTTTCATTCTAACTCTGTAGAAACTTTACCTATTTATAAGCATATAAACTTGCATATCAAAAATTCATTTTTTCTTAGAATTCTTTTTTTACAAGACTTTTTATCTATCAAGTAATATCTAATCAATCTTAAATTTGTCTATCAAGAATACATTTTCTCTTAAAATTTTTTTTTTACAAGTCTTTTTGTTCATCAAGTAATATCTAGTCAATCTCAAATAAATTTCTTATGATATTTGAGTTATTATTTTCAACAAATTATAGTAATAGAAAGCCAGACAGTGACTTAGACTAAAAAAGTCTTTGTTGGGCTTAAAGCAACAAACACAATAATGCAGAAGTAATATATCACAATAAACTCACAATAATAGACAATAATAAACAATCAACAATGCTAAAAAAATAAAGCACACCAAAATTTACGTGAAAAATCTTTCAGTGTAGAGAGAAAAAATCACAGACAATTAGAAAAATCTCTACTATCAAATAATAGATATACAAAATTTACTTCTAACTAAAATTAAAGCTAATAAATAACTAGAGAAATAATTAAAAATATCTCACCAAATAGGTGACTCAATGTATACACTATAGATTTATTCATAGAAAGCTTCAAATTTGATTTTCATTATTCAGAATGTAAAACTCCAAATTATAAACTTTTGATAAAATTTTAGTTCGATCGGATCATAGATTAACTTTTATTCAACTAACTCTTTCTTCTCTATTTTCTCTTTATCTTTTTTTACTTTTTTTTTCTCTCTCTGATGTCACACATTTCACGTCCAAATTGCCCACTTTTCTTTTTTATTAAGTAAGGCTCTATTTCATGACTAAAACAAAGAGTTTTGGGCCTTAATCGATCAACCAATTACATAGGGTTGGACCCCACATTTTTTAACAATCTCTCCCTTCAATCCTATTAGGAAAAGAGCAGTTTCATTTGAAATTTACCTTGATTAAGGAATCCATTCTAGCTAAGTTACTACAGAGCTTAAATTTTTTCATGAAAAGTGTCTTAGTCAACATATCTACTGCATTTTATTAGTATAGACTTTCTTCAACTGTATCTGTTATTCTTCAATCACTGAATGTAACCAATGATATATAATATCAATATGCTTTGTTTTACATGGTACATGGTATGTTTACTCAAATTTAAAGCACTCTGGCTATTATAAAACACTATATATTCTTTTTGATTCAACCCTAATTCAAAAAGAAAATGTTTCATCCAAAATATTTCTTTACCTGCTTTAGTTGCTACAATATACTCAACCTCTATAGTTGATAAGGCAATACACTTTTGTAACTTAGACTGCTAAGACACAGCTCTTCCTGTAAAAGTAAATAAATACTATGAAGTAGATTTTTTTTTATCAAGATCACCTGCCATGTTAGCATCAGTAAACCTTTTTAAAACTAGTTATAAAACTTTATAAATCAAGCACACTATTGAAGTGCCTCTCAAATATCTAAAAATTATTTTACTACTTCTCAATGAACTTTTTTCTGGATTAAATAAAAATCTACTCATTACACCAACTGCATGAGCAATATTAAGCCATGCGTAAGCTATAAAATACATCAAAAAATTGATTGTAAAACAATAAGGAATACTAGACAAAGTTTGTTGCTCTTTTTTAGTTACCGTACAAGATTTTTTACTTAAATAAAAATGGTTAACAAGTGAATTGTTAACTAATTTAGCATGTTGCATGTTGAATTTACAAAATAGCCATTTAACATACTTTTTTTTCGTGATAACCATAACTTTTTAGCTCTCCTATCCCGATTAATATCCATATCGAAAATCTACTTTGCTGGACCTAAATTCTCCATGTCAAAGGACTTAGACAATTGTTATTTCAACCTGCAAACCATACCAACATCTGATTTTACAATCAACATATCATTAACATATAATAAGAGAATAATAAAGTTACCATTAGAAAATTTTTTGACATACACACAAGAATTCGTTGTCATTCTTTTATAGCTATGGCTCACCATAAAAAAATTAAACTTTTTGTATCACTGTCACGGAACTTATTTCAAGCATAAAAACTTTTTTTCAGTTTGCAAATTAAGTACTCTTTTTTTTTTACTTAAAAACCCTCAGGCTAGTCCATATAAATGTCTTTATGCAAATCACCATGTGAAAATGCAGTCTTAATATTAAGTTATCCAAGTTCAAGATTTAAACTAGCTACTAATCTTAATACCACTTGAATAAAACTCATTTTCACAATTGGAGAAAAGATCTCATCAAAATCGATGCTAGGTTTCTGAAAAAAATTTTACCATCAATCAAACTCTGTACCTCACTAACTTGTCACCATCTTTTTTTAACTTGAACACCTGTTTATTCTTTAATGGCTCCATCCCTTTTGAAAGTTTAATAAAATCATATGTACTATTTTTTTGTAATGACTCAATTTTTTCTTTCATTGTTTTTAATTAATGCTCTTAATCTGAAGTAGTTTGTACATTTTAGAAGTTCTCTGGTTATAATTAAAATAAAATTTGAACTTGGATATCTGATGAATGGCCTGTGCTCTTTGATAGATCTCCTAGTTAAGATTATACACCACTTGATACCAAAAATAGCTCATCCTCCTCAACATTCTCTGGTAGAGAGGACTGTTCACTCTACTTAACATTCTCAGGTAGAGAAGATTGCTTCTTTTATTTAAAATTGATTTTATTTGGTTAATCATTAATTATGACTGACTCATTCATATTCTCAAGTTTTATTTCTTACTCATTTTCACTATCTGTGGCTTTTTTTTTGTGAAACCCTTATTAGTATTGAAACATCACACTAAAAAATAATCTGTGTAGTTTTTTCATTTTTAATAAAATCTGCTATGGTTTTTTTTCATGGAAAACTACATCTCTGCTTCTGATTATTTTTCTTTGCATTGAATTCTATATCCTGTAGCTAAATTTCTCATCACTATGTCTTATAAACACACACTGTATGATTTTATTGTCACACTTTGACCTTTATTTTTTTAGCACATACATGAATGCTTTACACTCAAAAAATTTTAAATAAGAGTATAAAATATCTTTTTCTGTCCACATTTTTTGTGAAATATCAAAGTCCAAAGAAATTGATGGTGATCTATTAAGCAAATAATAAGCTGTATTAACTGCTTCACCCCATAATGGTTTTAGTAATTTTGACATCCTCAATATATATTTGACTTTTTTTTATAATAGTACAGTTCATCTTTTTAGCTACACTATTATGCTACAATGTTTTAGGTTCTGTAATCTCATGCCTGATCTTATATTTTGAACAATATTCTTTAAAATCTTTGGATGTGTATTCCCCACCATTATTAGTTTGAATACATTTTAAGGGTAGTCCTATAATTTTTTCCACCATGACATAAAATTTTTAAAAATACTGTAATACCTAACTTTTATTTTTTTACATATACACTCAAGTCTTATGTAAATCATTATCAATAAAAGTAATGAAATACATGCTATCACCTAATTATTCAACCTCGATGAGACCACATACATCAGAATGAATCAATCCAATATATTTTCTTTTCTTTGAGAACTTTTACAAAAAGAAACTCTATGATGCTTGCCAAATAAACAATGATCACATGAATCGAGAGATATACCTTTGGTCAAGGTAATGAGAGATTGTCTTGTCAAAACTTATAACCCTTTATCACTCATGTATGCCAGCCTCTTATGCCACAAGTTGCTGAAGCATCATCGTCAATGACATTTATCTAAGTACTATTCATTTATATCTATATCTTGTACATTGTACATCATAGTTTTCTCATTACAACTACCTAGATCCTTTGAGAAGTTTTTACTATACATTTTTTTGTTCACTCTTATATCTTTCTTTATTAAGGGTATTAATAGCAAGCAAGTTCATTCTCATATCTAAAATATATCTAACATCCTTCAAAGTCAACATGCAGCCATACTAGTTTGTATAACAATATCACAAATCCTAATAATTTATGACACACTCTTATTTTTCATCTTGGTACAACTAAAGTCTCTTATTTTGTAAGTTTTAAACAACTCCCTCTTAGGAATACACTGATATGTCGCTTCTGTGTCAACTATCCACTCAATATCGAGATCACTAACATGATTATAATCACCATGTGTACAAATCAAAGTAACTAAATCACTATCTAAATTTATTACTATAATATTGCAATCATTTGAACTCTTTCATTTCTTATCTTTTTGCTCGTACTTCAAGATTTTGCAATATCACTTTATATAACCTACTTTACCACAATGAAAGCACTTTACTTTATTTTTAAACTTGGATATATATTTAGACTTACTATAACATTTTGAATTTTGACCTCTGTTGATGTTTTTAACTTTATTCTCTGTGACCAAAGCTTAATTCTCATAGTCTAAATCTTTTTGTCTTGCTTTTTCATTAAGCATACTGTCATTTATCATCTCTAATGTTACCTTATAATCGAAGCTGAATTAAGAATAGTCATAAGTAGAATATTCCATCTATTTGGCAATAAACCTAAAAGAATCAATGCCTTCATTTCATCATCAATTTTAAACTCCATAATAGTCATTTGATTAAATATATCTTAAAAATTATTCAAGTGCTTTATAACAAATCGTCTATCTCTATACTGTAAAGTTGTAAGCTTTTTAAGAAGCATAACTTTATGCATGCATGTTTTCCTCTTATACAATGCTATCATTTTTTTTCAAACAGTGTAAGCATCTGTCTCCTACCCTATATGATGGAACACGCTGATATCAACCCATTTTCTGATTACAGCTAGTATTTTTCTACCCAACTTCTTTCAATTTTCATCTTTCGTATTTATTGGTTTAGCCATATCACCCAATATAAGCTCATATAAATCTTTGTAGTATAAATAATTTTCCATCATAGGCTTTTAAATTGAATAATTTGATGTTGTCAATTTTATCATGGAACTCATCACTTTCCATGATTTCAAACAAAATTTACTTCTATCTTGAGTTGCTTCTGTGTCGATATCTCAAAATAACATTCACTTTGATATCACTTATTGGGCTTAAAGCAACAAATATAACAACATAAAAGTAATATATCACAATAAACTTATAGTAAAAGATAACAATCAATAATCAACAATGCAAAAAATATAAATCACACAAAGATTTATATGAAAATTTTTCAGTGTAGAGGGAAAAAATTAGGGCTACCAAAAAAATTTTCACTATTAAATAATAGATATACAAAGTTTACTTTTAGCTAAAACTAAAGCTAATCAATAATTGAAAAGATAATTTGAGAAATCTTATCAAATAAATAACTTAAAAAATATATCCTAAATTTATTCCTAAATAGCTTTAAATCTAATTTTTATCATTCAAAATATAACACTTTAAATCATAAACTTACTGATAAAATTTTAACACAATCAAATTACGAATTAACTTCTATTTAATTAACTCACCTTTCTCTCTTTTCTCTCTATCTTTTCGAACTTTTCTTTTTTTTTCTTCGACACTACACACTTTACGTCAAAACTACCTACTTTTCTTTTTTATTAAGTAGGGCTTTATTTCACGACTAAAACAAAAGGCTTTGAACCTTTAATCGGTCAACCAATTACATGGAACAGGACCCACACTTCCTAACAGTTTTACGGAGTGGGAGCTCTTAGATTTGTGCTGATTAGCACTTCAACCAAATCTTTGGTTCTGATTGTGAAGGGCATCACTCCACTACTTTTAATAAATCCAAGCAATGTCTTGAAGCATTAACGAAAAGGAAATGCTGCTTAGAGTTGATAATTGCAGGCCGATATATATTTATAAATAAGCAACAGCAAGAGTAGACTACTAGTACTAGAAGACATTGTTTTAATTTGGCTTTGTTCGTTTCTAAAAAGCTCGTGTGTATATATATCAATGAAGAATTGGCAGTTTCTTGTTGCTTTCGAAGGAGCATTAACTGAGTATATGAGCCTTGGAGAACCCAAACAAGGCCAAATAAACAAGTAAAAGAAAAGTGGGGTTGCTTTGATTCGTGTCATTAGCTACGCTAAGTTTATTTTCATTTGGCCAAAAGTTTTGTCAGAGGCAAGAGGTGAGAACGAATCTGCATATGAAGATGGTTGAAAAAAGGGGATCTAAAAAAAATAGCAGGAGAATAATGAGCTGGGTGATTTGAAATGGGAGGTGAAAAGGTCTTAATGTATTAAGTATAGGAGAAGACTTGATGATGGAAGGAGAGGAAAAAAAAAAGGAGAGAAAGTAGTGATAGTAATTAGATGGAGTCATGTGAGGGCATTTATATAGTGGGGTTTTAGTGTTCTTTGTAGCTTAGCGCACATGGGGTGGGAGAATACTCCCCTCTTTAGGTAGGTGCAAAAAGGCAAAAGCAGCATGTGAAGCCATGTGCCCACTCTCATGTCTCAACAGACCCACCCTTGTAAGATTTTGCACATGAATCTTTGGCATTATTATGGAAAATGTTAATCATCACTCTCCATTTTGAGTTATATATGATGACTTTTCATCCTTCTATTAGTATTATTACTAGCTACTGCATTTGGTCCATAAGACAGACTCTAATTAAGGGTAGCTACTGCACTATTATGATGAAATGAGTGAGGTCCATAATTAAAAATCTGATGCACTCGCAGTTCCGGTGAACCTATTTTCACCCATATTTTGGATTATTTAAATAAAATATATTTGTTATCATGCATGTAAACTGAGATTTACATGTCAGTAAGTAAATATGTGCGAAGAAAAACTTTACATGAAAGAAAAAATGTCATCCTCACTTCCACCCTGCGCAATTAGCTCCTCATTTTTGGACTCTCTCTCTATTTTTCTAACACTTTAGTGGGCGGAAGTCCTTATGTCAAAGTCGGTTTGGTAACCATGAACCTTTTTCTTTTGTGTGTGTGTGGACTGTGGAGTGAACTGAAATAAGAGATCACATTTGTACATATGCCATATATCCACCAATGACCAATCCTTCTGTTTATAATATAAGACCTACCAGCATGCTTAAGCTGTATGTCCTGAAGCAGTTGTTGTTCTCCAACTTTTTCTTCTCTGAAGTTGAAGGTTTTAGAAAACAATAGCTCCTTTATCTCTCTCTCCTTTGTCCATCATTCTTTTAACATTTCTTTTTTTTTTTTCATTAAATTTTTATATTCTTAGCTAGCTAGCTCCTTGGATTTGTCCTTATATCTTTGATTTAACAATTCTTTGATAGCTTTGATTCTCATACAAACATTATTCTTTATTCTCATATTATAACAAAACTGTTTTTTCTGTTGTTTCTATTTCATTGTCCTGATCATTACTTATTATTGTTATAGTGACAGATTTATTCGCATTCTGGGATGGAAGGACACATGAATAAACGAAGACGTGTTTATTCTGTGGAACCAAGGAAGATAAGGCAAGCAAGTTTTGCAAGAAAATATGTGAATTACTTGGTCCCTGCTCTAACAAAGATCAGCAAAGAAATATCCTCTTCCGACCAATGTATTGATCATGAAATAGAGAAGATTGTGAGGTATGAAGTAGACATGGCATTGGCTTTATCTGCTGAAGGGTTTGCTTGGAGTCATGCCTTGAAAAACCAGCTTCAACTAAACGTTAATAATGTAGGTAGATTCCAAAGTTCTTTAACTCATGATCAGCTGCTTGCCTCCTTCAAAATTTCTTCATCAAGTACTTGTAGTCCAAACCGTGCAGAAAATGAGGTTGATGATAACCAAAATGCAATGCTGTTAAAGAAGATCTCATCCAATTCCATTTCCAACCTTAACCATGAATGTGCCACTAAGAAATCGAAAAGGGCTAAAAGAGCAGAAATGGAGATGGGAACTGCGACAGAAGAAGGAATGGAAAGTGAAGAGGAGGAGGAGAGCAAAAGGCGGTTGACATATGTAAAGAATCTTTTACCAGGAGGGAATGAGCTGATGGATGATGATGAAATCTTGTTAATTGAATTGGGAAGTTATATTTCATGTCTTGAGTTGCAGGTGAATATTCTTAGATCTATGGTTGAAATAAATTAATTAGATTAATTTCCGTTTCCTAAGTTAATTTCTACAAAGGCAAGCAATCAATTTGGACACTGCTGGCCCCAAGCCAAGACATATATATTGATATTGTCGCTGCTGTTTCATTATTTTAAAAGTTGTAAATATATTTGCATCCCAAAGAAAATGAAAAAAAAAGAGGAGAGTTGCACTTTCTCCCTTCATTTATTTTTTTGTTCATTTAAACATCTAGTATAAATTAATTGGTTTTTGCTATAGATGAAGGAATCATATTGCTGATATTTTGTCCACCATAGCCTCTTTTTTTGAGTTGTATTTTGGTCCTTTTCTTTTCCTTCCTTTTCCTCTAAGTTTATACACTACCCTTGTGTTTATAATTGTTGACATGGACAAAAACTTCAGTGTTACACTTGAAATCAGTACTGTACATTTTTTATTCAATTTTTTGTTAATCATTTATTGTGCTTTCTTTTAGCTTTGCATCACCATTAAAAATGCTAGCCTTTGACCAAATACAAGTTCATTAATGGCTCAGTAAAAAAGAAAGGTAGCATCCATGAATGTTGAGAAGAAACTTTGTGAACCAATATTTGGTCAGGCACTCAAAACCATTGTTGTAGATCACTGCTTACCGCTTAATTGCCAAAATTAATTACATTGTAATTCTGATGTAGTGTTGTGTCTGTTCTGTTTTGATATGGTTTACTCTGGAATTACAAGTCATTGACATAATATTAGCTAAATGCCAGCTATATGATCAAGTTCTGGACAGAAAGTTTTTTTCTTTGATGGCAAATCTAACACAATGAAAATTTTCATTCCAAACATTTTCAAAGATCGATCTGTTCATGGAATAGACTGCACTGTTTGAGTACCGTTCTTTGCACACTCTTAAGGATAATGTCAAGTGATAAAACGCTAGTCATAAAATGCCATCCTGAAGTCCTTCCAGAAACCTAAGCTCATGGAATAAGGAAACTTGAAACTCCTTTTGGCATTTGATATATAGTTGCCAATTGCCAGTCAAAGGCAGTTAACTTGAGCAACCGATAGTGTAGATAGTGTACACAAGAATACAGAGAAGATAGAAAACCCAAGGGAAAAGTAGATAAACTGTGTAACATGGAACATTACATGGCTCCTTATTGGAGCATGAAGTGACCAATAACACAACCCTTTCTTCCGGCCTTGAATTACATAAAGAAAAGAAAAGGAAACAGCTAGGGCAGGAAAATTATACCACAGACATGTTGTCCCTATCTAGAAAGTTTAAACTAATTAATTAGTTCTTCTTTCTCTTCAATGACCAGCATATGTCGTCATTGAACTACAACCTTCAATTTCAAGCATTTTTCCCGTTTCTAAACTGTATAATGCTGCTGGATTGTATCAATGTCCAGTCCCTTCAGCTTCACTACTGACTCCACATGCCCTTTGAGGGTGTGAAGCTCTCGAAGCCTATAAGCAAACAGTGGTAAAATTTTTTGTTGTTATATATACTAGAATCCATAATTGTGCCAGAAGATCTAAAGTATAATGATAAACAGTTTTAGCTATTAATTACTAGATGTTTAAAGAAATATTTCATGTGGAAGTTAGTATATTCTTAGGAAGGATAACTGAATGTGTACCTTGCAACCTCTGCTCGTCTCTTGGCCTGCTCAGCAATCTCGGACAACTCTCTATAGCTGTTCTTGTCATTGAAGAGATTAGTAGTTTCTGGTGGCTGAAGCCCATGTAATGTCCTTTGAGCAAGAGCCCATTGAGCCTCTCTCTCTTCCTTGCCATAATCTTTCTTGGTGGTGAACGCAGTCTGTTACAGCGGCCAGATTAGTAAACCAAACAACCGAATGCAAAGAAATATATAATTTTTTTTTTTGAAGTAATCTAATGTAAGATAAGTATACCTTATTTTCAAGTAAGTTGAGCCACGCTTTTCCACTTAAGATGTAACGAATGGCAAACTTCATTGGATCCAGTGGAATGTAGAAAATAATATTGTAAAGCCATATTACACCAGCCCATCCCCAACCAATTCCTTTAATCTTTGCAAATCCCCAGTTAGCATAGACAGCAAGCATAGTAGCAACCTAAAAAACACCAGAATTGATTAGCTTACTATAATATGCATCCCTTCATTGAACTCAGAAATTGGATATAATGTAAAGTAAATTCTTACTAGCTGTGCAATAACGAAGGCAGTCATCAATAGTAGTCCAGGACGCTCAACATAGGACCAGCTACGTGATCTAGTCACAAAAATCAGAGACTGGCTTACAATGCTCACTTGTAAATATAAAGCAGCCATCATTTCATTGTCTCTGTGCCTTAGAGACTTAACGCCAAATTTGTCCTGCATTCATAGATACGAACTGTTAAGAGACTAAACAGAAATCAGAAATGAACTTTGAATCCTTCACAAAACATAAAGTGCCAGCTTTCAGCAACACCTACTGAAAAGAAGTGAGTATCATGCATAGCCCAGAAGAATATGACAGTCATCAATGCCAAGTAGCTTCCAAGCACAATTCCGGTGGCAAAAATTTCTTTCAGTCTCCAGCTATCAGGCAAGGGAGATGGCTTTACTCTGTCCTTTGAGATTGTCATAATAGTTCCTGAGTAATATTCAAATTGATTGATGTTAATATAATGTTCCAAGCCAGTTAATCATACAACATAAGAACATGATGAATCATATGAAAATTATGTAATAATCCACTTTATAGAATCTCACCATCATTTAGAATGGCAATGATCAAAACCATGAATGGAGAAAAGTCAAACTTCCAGATGAGAGCAATAAGCATAAACCCCAACTACAAAATCAAAAATAAAAGTCACATATATGAACCAATACACGCAGGTTAAAGTTATTAATTAATTCATATAAAATCATTTGTTATGTACATACCACAATACGGATTGTAATGGAAACTGCATAAATCTGTGAAAGTAAAGAAAGCAAAGTCATGCGTTGCAAAATATACCACGTAAATCTTTAGCATATGTTTAAAGAGGAGAGAGCAACTTACAGTGTAGTTCTTCATCCTTTGGAAAATAGCTCTGCTAGTTAAAACTGCACTGATAATAACACTCAGTCCAGGTTCTGTAAGAACAATGTCTGAAGCACTTCGTGCGGCATCTGTACAATCAGCCACAGCAATACCAATATCTGCCTTCTTTAAAGCAGGAGCATCATTAACACCATCTCCAGTCATTCCACAAATGTGCTTTTTCTCCTGCAACTTCCTCACAATTTCATATTTGTGCTCTGTAAAATGAGTGTCAAAAACAGGTGTTATGCTACTCCAGACCAAAATAAAAAATAAGAATTTCTTGCTTGTGAATAGCCAGGATGCCAAAACCAGTTACCTGGAAACACGCCAGCAAACCCATCTGCCTTCTCAATCAACTCTTCCACAGGAAGGGCAGCTATGCTGGCATCTTTGTGTTGACCTAGCAAAGAAGCAGATGGATACATGTTTGTTCCCATTCCAAGTCTGCGGCCAGTTTCCTTTGCAATGGCAAGTTGATCACCTGGACAGAAATACAAAAGTATAAGTGAGCAATTGCCTCAGAGAACGAAGTACTAGTGATCGAATTGTCCATTGATGAACTCATAAAAGGATTCAATTACCCGTGATCATCTTGACATTCACACCAAGATGAAGAGCTCTGCGAATGGTTTCTGCACTGTCATGCCTTGGAGGATCAAACAGAGACAACAAACCCACAAATTGCCATGGAGTACCAGCACTTTCTTTTGTTTTTTCTGGCACTTGCTGGAAGTATAGAAAATGAGCAAGGGTAGCTGAGTAAGGGAACATTCAATATTGAAATAACAGAATAATGATTAGAACATCGTGATTTCTAGAGAAACCTGTCTTGCAACAGCTAATGACCGAAGCCCACGTTCGGCAAACTTGTCAATGATAGAATGAACTTTCTTCCTAAGTTCTTCTTTTGCATTACAAAGGTTCAAGATCTGTCGACAGATATTAAATAATTAGGACACAGAACACCCCATAAATTTTCCTATATTAATGTAATGTTCATAATAACAAGGTTACCTGTTCAGGAGCACCTTTGCTTGCTCGGTGCCAGTTGCCATCGGAATCAATGTAAGTCAAAGCAGTTCTCTTGTCCACAGGATTGAAAGGGAAGAAGTGTACCTCTCTAATACCAGCTCTTGCCTGTATGAATAGCATATTGAACATAAATACTAATCCAAGAGCCATTTGCCCTCTCATTTTAGCCATTTAGCTGAATCAAGAAACAGAAACAGAAGAGAGAAGAAACGGGTATACCTCCTTAGGGTCAGCAAGCGTTCCAACGATGGCGGCATCAATGGCATCTTGATTTTCAGTTCTAGAGGCCCTTGCGGCAAGCAGGAGAACATGCTCCTTATCCGCATCCTTTACAAATACCTCAATCAAGTTTTTATCAACACTCAGCTTGTTGAGAGTTAATGTTCCTGTCTTATCACTACAAAGGACATCCATACCGGCCATTTCTTCAATGGCAGTCATACGCTTGGTGATAGCACCCTGCTGAGACAGCCTGTGAGATCCAATGGCCATGGTTACAGACAAAACAGTGGGCATAGCAATCGGAATACCACCAATCAAGAGAACCAAGAGATTGTCGATTCCATCCCTGTACTTGCGGTGCTGAATTGGATACATGACTATGATCTCAACCAACATACCAGTGGCAATGGAACAAATACAGAAGTTTCCAATAGCAGTGAGCACCTTTTGGAAGTGTCCTACTTGATTGGTGCTGTCCACAAGATGTGCAGCCTTTCCAAAGAAGGTATGAACACCGGTAGCAATAACAACAGCTTCGATTTCACCCTGTTTGCAAGTTGAACCAGAGAAGATTTCATCCCCAGGATTCTTGGTCACAGGAAGTGACTCTCCTGTTAGGGCAGATTGATCAATCTTCAATGGATCACCTTCAAGAAGACGGGCATCAGCAGGGATGATATCTCCCAATTTAATGCTAATGATATCTCCTGGAACCAGAATTGCTGCTTCTTGCTCACTCCACTTTCCATCCCTAAGCACCTATATTTCACCACCATATAAGTTAACAACGAATTTCAACATGTTTGCAAGAAAAATAATCCTTCAAATTACTAAAATATAGCAATCACAAACTTTCTGATATAAGCATCGGGCATAACCAGTCATCAGATCATCCACCATGTGCATAAATACATATCTAGAATTAGAATCTTTCTTGGCTAATTCTTACATGAGCATTAGTTTTAGTTTTAGTTTTCTTTTAGTAAACAGAAAAAAAAAAAATCCTACTCCTCCAACAAAAGTGTACTAAAAAATCTCGCTTTTAATTACCTTGGTTTTTGGAGCAAGACCAGCCATGAGAGCAGCAGCAGCATTTCCAGCATTGTTTTCTTCAATGAAACTGATGGTAGAGTTAATTACCAACAAACAAACAATGCCGACAAAGTCTTGCCAATCCGGGGGCTTCCCACCACCATTAGCCAAAGCAATGGCCATGATCGCAGCAGATTCCATGACCCATGACAGGGGATTCCACATGAACCCCAAAAACTTGAGAATTTTGCTTTCCTGATCATTTAAATATACAATATTCCAAATTTTTAGCAATCAACATTAGGTCTTTAAGCAATTTTCTTGTCAACATGAATTGAATTTGATAGGCCACTATATATTGTAAGCATGATAATAACACCTTTTTCTCTTCTAGCTTGTTGGGTCCGAAAATCTGAATCCTGTTGGCTCCCTCTTCCGAAGTCAATCCTTCTTCGGTACATTTCAGCTGCTCAAACACTTCCTCGATGGGGATTTTTTCCTGTAAACCGAGTAATTACCATGGCATTGAGATTTCCATCCTATTTATTCTATGTGTCAAATTTTAGAGCAACAAACAAATTATGAATATAGGTTCAAATTTATCTAACTTTTTGGATT